TTAAAACTATTGTTCTTGGTTTATTATCTTTTTTTTGACCGATGCGATGTGCTCTTTCTATAACGACTTCCTTTGATATTTTTAATTGATTATTAAAGAATTTTTTTACCTCTTTTTCACAATCATCCCAGCTTTCTCCTGGAGACTCTTTTAGTCCATCTATTCTTAGATTATTTCTTCTGGAACGATTTTCCAAGTCTATTGACTTTTTATATAATGTATTTATTTGATTGTCATAATATTTTTTTAAGTGTGAAATGTTTTCTAAAGTTTTATTCTCTTGAAAACTGAGGCTGTCCTTTATTTCCTTCAGGTCTTTTTCGATATTCTTTATTTTCGACTTGTTGTTGTTGTTGTCTTTCTCTATTGTGTCTAGTCTATCAGTTATAATTTTGAGGTTTGCACTCATTATTAAAGTAAATGATTTTTCTTGCTCTTTAAGTAGTCGTTCAGTTTCTTTAAGAATACTTTTTTTGTGTTCCTCGAGTTGTTTTGTGATAATTTTTTGGATGCTTTTCATTGTAATATCCATTTTTATGTAAATTTTATCGCTAATAAAAAACACGTCTTGTTTCCGCAAAATCTCCGCGAATATTAAAGACCCCTCTTTAATTTGTAACAGTAAAAATAGTTTTTGAGTTATAAAAAAATGATATCCATTTTAGAAAGGCCATGATATATACTATACATATATCTAAAAAAAATTTTTTAGAACATCTTTTTTTTGACTTTTGTCACAGGCTGTTCCAGTGTGATGTGGCCAGAACCAGCTTCGAATCACGGACCTCCAGTTCTGAAGCCTGAACTGTCATCACTACACCACGGCTTACTGATTATATTTTTATATATTGAAGTGGTTTTAAACAAAATGAAAAAAAAAAACAGATATAATTTTTGAGTTTATGAAAGCAGTCGAATGCAAAAATGAAGTCTTGAATGCAAGATTATTCATTGCTTGCAAAGTTTCATAAAAATGCAAATAGAATTCAGGATTTTGCAAACACCTGAATAATCTAGTTTTGCTCAATCACCTAATTGCAAACAACACACTTTTGAGTGATATTTCAAAAATTTTAGGCAGTATAAAACTGTTATAACCTTGATTTTTGATGTATATGCAATATTGATAGAAATAATATAAAAACTGTTTAAAAAACAATGTTATAGCTGGTAAAAGTAGCCCAAACATCAAAAATCACGCCTCCAGGCATATTAGCAACAGCATGTTGCATTTCGAATTCAATTTAAAATTAAATATCCAGCCATTTACTTTTTCTAAACTAAATTCCGAGGCCGATGAAACGTTTCCCCCCGTATATGTAAAAAAATTGTTAGTTACCCCCACATATATTAGGTTACCCCTATTTATGTTAACAACGTAAAACTTAAAATGGCTTTACATGTTGAAAACAATATTTCAAATAAAATGCCAGCAGCATTTAATACTATAATATTATCAAAGATTTTGAAACCTTACCCAAAAACTTCTCCTAGAAAAAGTAATTTTAAAATGTTAAAGACAAGAATTCTGAATAAAACTCCCGTCAGAAAATACGATTGTTTGCCTTAAGAAAAGAAAACGAAAGTTATGATCCATAGTTGAAAAAAACAAACAAACTAAGAAATTTTTGTTGAGGAATAAAAAACGTTGAACAATTCACGTTTTAATTTTGAAAAATAACATTTAAGTTATCACGTCATATTTTATGTATTGATACTTGAGCATCAAAACATAAAATTCAATTTATTGAACATGTTCAATTGAACTTGTCAGTAAATTGCTATTCTAATATCAAATAAAATGTCTGTCAATGGTATCTTTATAACTCGACTACTTCTTTTTATTAATATTCCTTCAGTTTTTCAAAAAAATTACTTGCTATTTGTCCGTGAAGGTGTTTAATGACGCTCTGCGAAGAGCTGAATCTGCTTTCTGTGGCCTTAGGTATGTGGACTCCATATGACAATTAGCCGGACAAATTACTTTATATTTTAACATTTTATATATTCTTAATTGTCAAATTAAACTTAACTAATATAGAAAGTACCTTGAAAGGGACGCGGGAAAAATGGGACTGCCTGAAATTTCTAATTAGGAGTGGTGCCTAAATACTGTTATACAGTGTAAATGATTAAATTTCTTCCCCTCTATTTAGCAGAAGTTGCTTTGTTTCCCTGCGTGCACTAAATGCCCTATTTTTGAAATGTACCTTAAAAAAGTGTTTACATTAGGGCGAAGTGGGACAGAAAAAATAAATATTTATGCCCCACTTCTTCCCGTCACCATTTGATGATTTCGATTGGTGAAACTCCTGAGCATTTTTATGTCAATTAGGTGATTTTATGATTTTATCAGTTTCTATTTAATAATTTGTGTTAAATTTTGTTTTAAATTTATTTGTTCCACCTCTACTCACACTTGTCCCACTTTACCCCAATGGCACGGTTTCTCTAAAAGCAAAAATTTATTTACTTAATTATAATTGACTCGAAACCTAAGGGGATTAAATCGGTGCCTAAAAAGAAGGTTTATTCGTAAAAACTTGTTTGGTTCAGTTTATGCATCAAGTAAAAAAAATATTGCACTTCTCTCCACTCTCCCCAATTAAAACAATTCAAGGCCTTAAATTTACATTTATTTTTTGTTTAACTATTGTTTTTTAATTGCTTATTTGAATTTTTTAAATCAACTTTATATTTATTACTACAATCAAAAGCCATCTTTATTCTCAGATAAACTAACATTAAATTACAATTAATATTACTTATTAATATACTTCAAAGCGCTTTAACTTTTATATAATCACAATATAATTCCAAAAACGTTAAGGTATAATTTTCATTTTTTGAAATGTTATACCAGCGTGGTGGCTCCAGCGAATGGAATTGTAACCGGAAGAATAAAGCTTGGAATTTTGAATCTTCAAGCGGCAGTTATCATGTATTGCAATGTCGATATTGTAATCTAAATTGCGGTGTTGAGGAGTTCTTGTTAGTCATTACAAAAGAAAATCTGTTTAGTCATGATTGGGGTATTACTACACATCATGACAAACGTTATTTCAAGTTTGTTGTCAATAATACCAGCAAAGTTAACAAATTTCTTGAAATTGTTATCAAAAACGTTACGTTATCAATAACTTAAAAAGTTATACGCATCATCCTTGTTTTAGTCCAAAACATGCCAATTGGACTTTTAGTAAACGGATCGACCGCTATAACTGCGTTAGGAAATTAGCTTGCTACTGGGAGAGGTATTTTTGAATCATTTAGCTGTCAAAATTTCAAAGTCCACGGAGAAAACATACTAACTGGCAATGTTATCGTAGTTATTAAAAACTGGCAAAACCCTAATATCAACCCATTGCCGATACACCAAAATGTTAATGAATACACACTTAGATACAAGAACAATGGGCAACTACAAAATAACTAAAAATCTAAATACTCAAGTGGAAACGCTGAAGATTCCATAAAAGTTCATTAGAAAATGTACAAATAAATGATGAAAATCAAGTACACTGATAAGTTGAAAATTAAGTACACTGATAAGTTGAACTGATAAGTTGGAGACCGCAGCTGAAGTTGACAAAAATAGAAACCTAATTGATAATGAAGATCAAAATTGTCTTGGCACAAAGATGTCAAGAAGAAAAAGTGCGAAAAAACAAAACTGAAAAAACCAATAATCTAAAAATTCAAAAAAAATCCAAATAAAAAGCAACAATGAAGTATTAGGTGGGAAAACACTGAGGTAACAAACAATGAAAACAGCCTGGAATTGCTTGAAAAAGAAAAAATAGTGTTTTGCAAGATGTGCACAGACGGTATTATCGAAGATGATCAAAACTTAAATTTTAATTATGATGGCAGTGATGCCTTAAAGTGTGGGAGAAGAAATCTTAAGATTTTCATTTCAATTTATTATTATTATTTTTTCTAAACTCTTTTTTTCTTTCTCAAATCTGTAAAATATTTTGATCTATTCTAAAAAATGTAAGTTTTATCTTTAAATCAATGCGTTAGTAATGTAATTGTAGTAATGTAATGCGTTTGTAACGTAGTTGCGCTTTGTGTAAAATGTTATGGTCCAGTGCGTTTATCTGATTGTATTACGACATTTCAATTGAAAAATTGTACTCTTACGTCACGTTATAAAATTAGTAAAATTTTATTTAAGATGCACGAGTTTTCAAATTAAAAAAACTGGCTCTCTCCATTATGGCTAATAATACATTAACATGCTAAACGGTCTAGCCAAAACACGACAATTTTTATGGGTTTCTCAAAATTATTCTCCTTCAACCTTATCATTTTCCAGTAAACGGAGTTTGAACAATTTATTGTTAATCAGTGGGGAAACGAATGGACTAGCGAGTCTACTTGGAACTCTGGTCCTGGTCATATAAGAAAGGTATATGTAGCCCACATGTGACCATAGTGCTTACAAGTGGAATAAAAGTGTGAAACTATATTCCAGTTGATGATTGATATATATGCTGATGATCAGTGTGACCCACAAGTGGAACACATGATGCATTCACACAATTATTCCACTTAGTGTGGTATAATCTTTAAATAAATAGGTACTAAATTAGATGTGCCTATTATATGGGCCATCATATAAGACGTACAATCTTGCCTCATTTTGAATTTTAAATTTTCACCAATTGTAAACTACGACTCTGTTGCAATCCATTGTAGTAAACTTTATAATATTCCATGATGTCATGTGGTTTACAGTTTTGATAATTTTCTATTCATAGTTGTCTTATGTTTTAGCGGTTTTATAATGAATATCTTTGAGAAATGTTATTCAAAATAAACTTTTAATAACATTTGTAAATTACACTTAACAATTAAAAATTTGTTGTATACTTAACGAATTATACTTAAGATATACTTATTTTAAACAATGCTTATATTAATATTACGTCTTTATTGCATGATTCATCAGATTAGTTTTGTGTACAGAACTAATATAGAATGAATTTTTTAAATTTAATGAAAAGTTGTTGTACGTTTACATTTATCTGAGAATAAAATTATAAATAAAAGCAAAAAGGATGATGTTTTTTCCATTTAAGTTTTTAAACTGGTATTCCTATACAAATAAGTATGCATGCAGTATTTGTATAGGTACATATGTATAATTATTTGTATATTCTATATAATACAAATCTACTGACAAGTCAGAAGATTAGTTTATGTATTTGTTATAAGTTTCTTGAAGAAAAATAATGCAGCTTTCGTTCTTATTTAGTATGGTTTTAATGGGACGGACATTATAGCCACATATGGAACGCACCAACGCCATCCCATAAAGGAGAGTAGGAAATATATGGCTAACATGCAGTTGCCATATATGGACCACATGAAAATTTCTTGTTTAGAAATAGTTTCCATTGTTCACAGATCCAATAATCTCGTCATTTCCACAAAAAGCAAGACCGATTGACGACAATAATTTGATTGTACTTAAAGTCCGTTTGAGAAGTTTACGCCAATAGTTCTATTTAGACGTGTATTATTCTACAAGACTTTTATCTATTTGCTTTCCTGTTTTTATTATATAAATAACTTTTTCAAGTTTATTCTTGTGCAAAGTACTGACTTCATGGAGACTTATGTCCCTGACTGTAGTCTTCCAATTGTAATAACCACTAGTTGCTAACAATGACGTTTCTTCGGCTTTTCCGAATAGTTTACAACTAGCTAAGTAAATCTTACCAATTTTTGAAGAAAAACAAAGCCAATTATACTAAACTTTCTCACCGTTTAATTGCTCTCGAAAAAAAAAGATTTTTAACAATGTCGTTTAAACGTATCGCCTAGAAATAAACCTTCTGACGTGTTAAAATTGCTTTCCATGTGTTGACAACTAGCAATTGTGCTACTTGTCAACTTGTTGAAAAGTTAGATAGTTTTCAACATTTTCCATGTGTTGAAAACTAATATCTCCGTATTGTATTGTATCTCCGTATTAAAAACTAACATCTCCATACGTATTGCTCAGTCGTGAAAATCATTTTGACAGGTTTCAGTTGCAATTGCGCTACTTGTACCAAGTTAAATATTCGATTCAGGCATTCTCTTTTACTTTCTGATAGATTTCAAAGTGTTGAAATCAAACAGAAAACTCACGATGCTTCACAGGTTTTATTGAAACACGTGAGCACCTGGTGCTTTCAAAAGAAAGTTACATAATTGGCTAAAATAAGACAATCCAACTTTATTATTTCGACTCATGAATATTTTCGAATTGGTACCAAATTATTAAGAATGGTTGCTAAATTTGTTTTTATTTGCTCAGTATAATCATCAACATCAATTTCAGGTGATAAATTGCATGGCATTGATTGCATTACTTATATAAAACGTGATGAGTTAAGTTTTTTTAAATTTCGTTTCAAAAACCAAACAGTTTAAGTTTTTAAAAATGGATGTTGGAGTGCTACCCGGATTAGGTAGTGGTCCGAAATACCTTCGTCTAATACTTGAAGATTTTTAAGGGAAATGTTATCATAGCGATTTATTACTAAATAAAGCAGGTTCGCAATAACAGAAGTTGATGATATGCGAGTTGGAGATAGAACAAGTTGTATCATGCTCTAGGTATCTAGAATATTAGCAAGCCTTGGATTTATAGTTGTTGGAGTGGTACCTTGGCAAATAAAGTCACTGTAAAGAAACATTTCTTCAGACAATGTTTAAAGTTCTTCTAGAAGATTAGAGAATTTCAAAAAGAAAATGCTTGTCGGGATGATGGGAATGATGAGAATGATCGATAAATAGCAATAACAGTGTTTGCTAAATTTAGTTTAGCAGATGTACGTTTATATGACAGGCAAGTTGATGATAATGACAAGGGTTTAGTATTTAAGTTGTATATTATTGCAATGCCTCTCCCACGTGGTCAGATTGGCAGTGTTGAATTGTTTTGAAACTTGGTGGCGCTATATCTTGAATTGCAGCAGGAACGTCTGGTCTTATCCAAATTTCAGTCAGTATAACGATTGAATTTGTACCGTAGTATGAATGATTGCAGGTTTCTTTATAGTGGATCGAACATTTTGGATACCCAAGTTTAGTGTAGATTGTGCAGTAGGTCCTGGAGAGGATCTTCAATTTTTTCTATGTATTTTATGCAGATTTAATTTTGATCCATTTAAGCTCACTTAATTGATACCCCAATAGTATTTTTTTCAATTGTGCACATTGTACCGTTGCCAGCCATTTGTTTTCTCAATTTCAAATGTAAGTGCTTCATCTCTAGTGTTATGAATTTTTAAAAAAAAAGTTTACTATCAAACTATCTCTCATTTCTTGTTTTACCTTTGTTAATAAAAATATTTTTGTAATTAACATTATCTTTTAACTTTTTGGAATTCATTATCATAAAATGTTGTGTTTCTTTGTTTTCCAATTCAACTAAGATGAGGTCGGGTGGTTCTTTTGGTCTTTTGGTATGTTTTGTAAGACGAATTATTCTTTTTACATTTTTTATTAAATAATCAGGCTTAATTACTTTTAATATAGTTTTAATGGTTTGTTTATCTTTTTCTTCATTTATTTGTTTGTCAAACTGTTTGATCAGCAACTCCACTTATAACTTTGTTTTCAATTTTTTTTTTGTTATGAAATTCATTAGTTGATTTAGCCATCATTACCACTTCAGTTTCTTTTGGTTTTGTTTTATTTTTCTAAATTGATGCTGCTTGTGCAGCACTGGTATTCAGAGTGATTGCCCTCTCTCTCAAAATAAATTCCATTTATTTTGAGAGGGCTACCACTCTGAATACCAGTGGATTACCTCCATATTATATATTTTAACCTTCTCTTATTAACACAAATAGAACTGTTAATCTTTTGTATTTTTTTCCATCTTATCAGAATAAAAAATTAGTAACTCATTACGAATCTCGGATAACTATTTACTTAAAAATTATTTTAAACTTTACTTTTTTGTTGTAATGTTGCTACTAATGAGATTTTTACTTCAAATCGAATGAGATTTTTACTTCAAATTGAATAAGATTTTTACTTCAATTATATAGAACTATACAAAAACTTTTCATTCCGTGACGTTTTCATAGTAATTTTCATATGGACATTCTACTTTAAACGGCTACGACAACGGCGACTTAAAAAACATATACTTTTATGTTTCGTTGTAAATTAAACTTGTATCGCATATGATAAACTGATTTTGAAGATATTAAACACTGAATAAGTATATTTATTTCTTTTCTTTGTATTTTTTTTTTTTTTTTTTGGAGGGTAGTTTTTGATTAAAAGATTTCCTGAAATTAAAGTTTCAGTGATAAATATACTTTTTCAAAATACTTTGATCAAATAACCTATGAAAGTAACTACAACTTGACTTACCAAACCGCAAAATGTTTTCACCAAAATAAAGTCTCGTATTCAATTTTAAATATTAATATCCGGAGTCTTAACAAAAACTTTGAAAGTTTTAAATTTTTACTGCATTAGATAAAACATGAATTTAGCATTACTTGTTTTACAGAGACTTGGTGTAAATGTGAACAAAATGCAAAATTTAAATTAAAAAAATTATAAAATGTATATTTTTTTAATTCAAATTGTATGCATAATGCATTTTAATTCAAATTGAATGCTTAATGACTCGCAATCTGTTTCATTCACACTAAGATCCTTACGCAAAATAAAGTCGAAACTAATTGCGAGTCCTTTTCCATAGAATTAGTTAACAAAAACTCTAAAAATATAATCATAAATACATAAATAAAGACAATCAGATGGTTTTAAAACATTCAAAACTTATCTTATCTCATTCTTAAACAAAATTGACAACACGCAAATGCATGTTTACATAGCTTTTGGTGATACGAATATACACTTGTTGAAACATACTTCTATTAATAATGTTAAACATTTTTTTGATACTCGATTAGAGCGCAGCTTTACCCCAACAATTATTATGCCAATCAGAATAACTAAAAATTCTTCTACGTTAGTCAATAATATAATACCCAAAATTTTCCATGTTTGCACAGGTATAATTAAGGCAGACCTTTCAGATCACTTTCCCACATTCCTAGCTACTAAAAATATACCAACATTTCAGGGCCGTATCAAGCCAACTTTGCGCTTTGGGCAAGCAATGAAAATTGCGCCTCAATTACCTTTTCCCCCTCCTTTTCCGCCACCGTCAGCCCAAAAAAAAAGTATTTAAAAAAGTGGCTTTATGATCACAAAATTTATCACATCTAGTGTAAAGTACAATTTGTGATTAATGTTGCACAAACTTTAGTTTAAGTTTACTTTTCTGGATTTTTTTAGGCAAACTCACTAATGATGTCAATAAATCAAGGGTGGCGCCTACTTCATGTACAATTGAAACTAGACAAACATTCTTGGCACCATTGTTGATCTCATGTAGTTTTTTATGAGCTTAAGTTTACTAAAACTTCTTTTCCACATTGCAACTGTGACTGGTATGGCAAGAAAGATGCAAACTTTAGCAACTGCCGTGTTAGGATGAGCGTAAGTCAATGAGTTCTTATAAATGAGCTTCAAAATGTCAATTGGGTTAGATTTTTCGAAGTTTTTCATCATTGCAACAGGTATATATTTAAAACTTGCTATTTTTGACTTGAAATCAGGAGAATCTAAGTCTCGTATTTTTAGTTTTTGTCTAAAGGTTCATCCACTGAACTTTTAGAGAGTGAATGCGCACATTCGAAGTAAAAATTGGAGGATACAGCCTCAAACCGCCATTCAATTTGTGTAATAATGCTGTCAATCACAAGTTTAGATTTGAATTTTTTTTTCTGCTGTAAAGATGTGAAAATTGTCTTCAGCTAACAACATTAAAAATATGAACTGCACATACCTGTTGCAAGACCTTCTTTGGTTTTTTGGTGAGACTCAATGAATTCTACAAAGCTTTCCTCAATTCAGTTGAGAAAAATTCCATTGTTTTGATCGTTGGATTCTGTTGTGCCCCGAAATTCGAGATTGTTATAAGTACAGAACTAAATTGCATCAACAATCACTATGAAGAAGTCTCTCAATTTTTTTTATCTCTTCATTGATAACATTCTGAAGATTAGAATTCATGGCCTTTTTATTAATCAAGGTTTTTTTGGTGAGTTCTCCAATCAGAACAGTATCTTTGGTGTTTATTATTGCTTTCATGTTCAGGCGATCTTGAGTTTAGTTTTTTTTTACTCACAAAATCCTTTTAGAGTTTCTAAGAAATTGTTGGTTTTTGTTGTTGAAAATAACAAAAAGCAAAAACAAAACAATGAATCTTTTTTATTACTTAACAGCAACCAATGGCAAACAAACTTTTCACAATTGGGGTTAGGTTTAAATTTTTTCAAATCATTTTGTGCTAAAGTCTCGCACTCATTTTCAAAATGACACAGGGTGTCTGGGAAAAATTCTCTTATTTCTTTCTTTGACCCATGCTGAATCAATAAGTATTTTATTTTGTCCACTTCAAAGCTCGTGTCGTCAGCCCTGAGGATAGTGTAATAACAGACATAAAAAATATCTTAGTTTAATGGAAGATTATTACCCGATTGCATTTAACTAGATACAAAGGAAAATTTTTACAGGAGATCAATTTACATATCTCTTGATGCGCTGGTATTTAATTTACACGTTTTTCTTATAAAGATTTACTTCAATGTCTTGAAATCTATTTTTTGATGTCAAAAACATTACTACATTGAATAATAAAGATGTTGTTGAAACTATTTCTACAATCAGTAATGTATGTGGTGTCATTCTTGGATTTAGTATCCAAAATGTACCGGTACCTGAATTAACATCGGAAGTTGAACGATGGCAGTGCAAATGTATAAGAATGAAATTGTAGGAAGGAATCGCATCACTGCCGACTAATCTGTTTTTCATTTGTGTGACCAGGTGCAATATCCATTCACACACAAGTTGTTTCAAGTTTTTAAGTCGTTTCTATCTAAATCTGAAAACCTTCCACTAAACCTACCAAAACTTCCACTTAATCTACCAGAACTAACAATTATCGATATTAAAATAAAAAGAGTTTTTTCAATTAAAATACATTGAATAATTTTCAATGAACGTTTAACTTGGAAAAGCCAAAAAAAGTTAGTCGAGAATAAAGTTTTAAAGATTCTTGGGAATAAATACAAGACAAAACATCTTTAGAACAAAATATATTTTGAAAAATTATACTATTCTTTTATAAATTGTCACCTATTGTAATATACATAACCTATTGTAATATTGCCTGGGCAAATAATCATTCATCTTTCCTAAACAATATTTATACTAAAAAAAAACAAGCAAGTTTTGGGCGCAGATAGGTAAAAAAGTGCCGAGCCGTTACTTAAGAAAATAAATGCTCTGAACGTTTACGAACTAAATATCTATCATTAACTTGTTATTTATGTTTACATTTCAAAATAAAATAATTTCAAAATATTTTTATCATCTTTTGATCTTTTCGTATTTTTTATTTTTATTTTTTTAAACGCATCAAATGGCAAGAGATAAATAAAATAATGAAAACATTCAAAAATGTCAGCTAGAGGCGGTTAAAACAGAACTTTTGGCGGAAATTACATACCTCAGAAAACTAATTGAAGCCCAACAATAAAATTGAAATTCAAGATTCAGAAACAAATTATTTAAAACTGAAAATTGAAGATCAACAAACTATATCTAAGGGTGTTCCAGCAATTCATAACTGGGCATCAGTGGTGTAATAAAGCACCAATAGAACAGCTTATAGTCATAAATGCTGCAATGAATGAATGAGCAGAAATAGAGGGAAAGGAGGTTTAAAAATGTTGTTATATTTGGATTGCCGCAGTCTCAAAAATCAAATTTAAAAGAAAAATCTACCGAAGATAAAGATAAAGTTAACCAAATTTTAGAAGATATTGGTTCCGCTGTTAAGCCAGTTTTTATTAAAAGACTGAAGTCAAGTAGTTCATTAAAACCAGGACCAATACTTATTAGTCTACAGGATGCATTGGAACGCAATCCACTATGGTGCTAAAAAATTGCGAACATTAATCTAGACCGTACTTCTCCCTTTCGATATGCAGTCCGTGGCAATCAAGTTTCCTTGACATAAAATGTATATATGCAAATGCTACGGCCCTTAATAATAAAATGGATGAATTTAAACTTGGTTCAACGACCAATCAGTCACCGAAATCGAAGGATTTAGTTTGAACAGAAAAAATAGAAAGAGGTGGTGGTGTAGCTTTATATGTAGATAAAAAACTCTAATGAAATAAACCTATGTTAAAGCAATTTAGAACAAGTCTGGATAGAGCATAAATTTAATGATTTAGTGAGTCACATATCTTATACAGCATGTGTCTGTTCCTACCTTTCAATTATCTGAAGAGGAATTTAATAATACCTTAGGTTTGATTTTTACAATGAATGATGAAAACATTTATAGTTTAGAAACAAGTACTATTCTCGGCAACCTAATGAAGGGTCATTTAATGATAACTTTCAAATACGCTATGAAGGGTCATTTAATGATAACTTTAAAATACGCTATTAAAGAGTGCATTAAATTAAAACTAAAATATATCTTTGATTACAGTAGAGGAGATTATGGTTCTACTACAACGAAATGTGTGGTTTCACTACAACGAACTGTGTGGTTTCACTACAGCGAACTGTGTGGTTTCTTTGTGATTTTATAGTTAAGTTGCAGGAAAAACTAGTGACGTCATTATGTATGCACTTAAGCGTGTTAAAACTGTCATCATCATCAAACAGACGTAAATATGTTTGTCAAATGAATATATAAGCATGGATCGATTCTTGTCAAATAATCAAATATAAAGCCAGTAATGCCACAAATACATACAGCGAACAATCCCAAAGAGCAAATCCACGCTTTGAAATGTTTGATGAGAGACCTTTTGAAAGAATACTTCAAAAGGTCTCTCATTATTCTGCTTATAAATTATCAGTTGCAACTGAGTTATTGTTAAGTTTTGTATCTTTTGTATTATCTGCGTGAAAACAGATAATACAAAAGATACAAAAAAGAAAGAAAAGAAAGATTTATAAGGATTGTTGCATGTTTAAAAACACCTTGGGGAGAAAAAGGAAAAACTAAACACAAGCAATGGTCAGAGACAAGACACAAATCAAGGAGTGAAGGTAAGTGATCATGGTGGACTGGTAAACTAGTCACAAAAGTTTAATACCTGAGTAAGAGATTAAGAAATGCCAAAAATACAGGCTTTAGCAGGGTCAGTGGTGTTAGAGTCACACTGTACAGAGTGATGAGCATTCAAGTTACTAATAACAACAATATTGGAAGAAGTAAAAAGAGAAAGGGCGCAGTCAACTTGATCATAAGATACATCTAATGATCAGAAGATCGAGTGCAATCTTGAGAAGAAGAAGAATAGTAAAGAACAAAAAGAAAGATAATAGAGTAAAGAGGGGCTCATAAAAGAAGCTCATCAAAGAATGATCAAGGGATTCGAACCAAACTACTCAAAAAATAAGTGAATTGATGCGTAATTATATGCCTAAGCCAAGCTTGATGCATCAATACTGAGATCTGAAAAAGAAACAGCCGAGTTTAAATTAGTCTCATAAAGACTTTACCACAGAGTTCGGGAAACCTTACTACCAGCCGGCTTCAGAGCCATTAAATCAAGTTTTAGAGCTGTAACTTCATCATAAGATAATAGAAAGATTTGCATAGCCACTATCAAAGAGGCACAAGCAAAAATCTATGAATAGAGTCAAGAAGATCCAGGAAACAATGCGATCATACTATGCAGGAAACAATGCGATACAGGTTTACATCTAAGCCAGCCTAATAGATGAAGAAAGGTTTTGAGGCTGTTTAACATAACTCTTCTGTTTACTCCTAAAATCTTTGGCTAAGAGGCCTTCTACAAGACAGCAGCTATTCTAATAAAACAAGAATGAAGTAGAAAATAATGAAAATATTCCACATTTTTAATTATTATTTATGAAAAAAAATTTTCACTCTCGAACAATGGCGGGCACATAAAAATCGTTCTGCGGGCGCCACAGCGTCCGCTGCACAGGATTGGGAACCCTTGATATAAAGAAACCCTAAAAAGTCGTTTTAAATATATTAACGCAACGGTTATGCAAATATACAAGTGAAATATCTAATTATTTAATTCTTTTTAGAAGATTTTGAATGTTTTCATTCTGCTCCTGCGTAATATCAGATAGTTCAGCGCAGCTTAGTTTTCTTTGCTTAATCGTGGATAATATGGTTAAAGTTTTTTTGCTTGTTTTTTTTGTTGTTGTTGTTTTTTTAATTATGATCTTTTTAATTATTATTATTTATTATTGAAAACCGTCTAGTTTAGATTACTAATCAAGTTTAAATGAAAAATAAATTATATGAGATAATCAAATTTCGCTCCAAAATCAAAAATTAAAATAAAAAAATCTCATCACTATAATTTTCTAAAACTTATTGTAAAAGATTTTTTTGAGAATAGTGAAAATTTTTATCTGTGTATATATTATAGTGTACGCCCACCTTAATTTTAATGAAAAAGTTTCATACGATTTGTTTCTTGCAATTTAAAAAACAAATCTGTTTATATCATGTTAGATAGTGCATCCCTTTATTATTTTAAAAATTTTAGATTTTACATAGAACTACTTTTATATCTCGTTAAGATCTTCCTTAAATAGCTTAAACTTCCAATAGAAATAAAGAAAAAATTTTGTTTGATAGCATTTTAGAATTCAGTAGTTTTTTTAGAATTCAGTTTTTTTTCCAATAAACATATATTTTATTTATTATATATTTCTAAAATGATATTTGTTATTTATGAAGTTGATTAACGGTTTGACAGTTGAAACTAAAGTATTAAATCAAGAATTTTTTTTGCTTGTAAGTCTTTTGTCGCGTCATGGTTGTACTATTATTATCGCTTAAATGCATTAGTTTCGTTCTCTAATCCTGTCTAATTAATCGTAATTTATTTAATTTTTAAGGAATTAAGTTTTTTATAAATAAAAGGTTTTAATAAAAGACAATCTGTTACGAAAGAATGATGGAAGTATATAAGACTATTTTTGGTTTATTTTACCGAAACAATTTATTAGATTGAATGCGTCGACTTTTTGTTTTGTTTGTTAATTTTCACAAACGTTGCAGTATACTGTACGCCATCTTTGCAGAATACCAAACAAGTATAGCATAGATTTTAGCCATGAATTTATTTGCAGGTTGTAAAGTCTTTGTACCAAACTGGTTGAAGAAAAAACGCCGAAAGCTTGTCACTTTTTTAAAGAAAAATTTACTAGTCGTTTTGATTGTCTTCGGCGCTTTTCTTGGGATCATTATTGGTATCAGCATAAATACATCGATTCAAAAAATTAAACAACCTAACAGATATACAGCAATAACTTGCATCGGATTTCCTGGAGAACTTTTAATTAGAATGTTAAAGATGTTAATATTACCTCTTATAGTATGCAGTCTTATTGCTGGACTTTCAAATATCGATACCAAAACTTCTTTAAAAGTTGGAGGAAGAGCGTTAACATATTACCTTAGTACAACTGCTTTAGCAGCAATTCTTGGATTGATTCTAGTTTCTGCAATAAAACCAGGTAAAGGAATAAAGCAGGTAGCCACTTTGAACAACCAAGAATTAGTAAACCCCTTGGATTCTTTTTTGGATATTGTCAGGTTAAATTTTACTTTAAGAAAGTTAAGATATTATTATGGTTATGTTTTTAAAGTGTTCTTGATAATTTTTATCCCCTAACAAGAAGCTTTTTTACTTTAAATTTAGTTTAATGTTTAAACTTTATTCACAAGGCAAGGCGTAACTCTACAATTTAAAACCTAACCCCTTTCCTCTCCTTCTTTTTTATTACTAATGATTTTTTCTTCGTAGAAAACTGTGTTGTGTTGTATAATTATATTTTTGCAATCATTTATTAATAAACATAAAATACTGATTCTTTATTGTAATACATATTTTTATTAAATTGTTTTTCAGAAATATGTTTCCAGCCAATATTATATCAGCTTGCTTTGAACAGGTAAGTTAACAAGAATTCGGACATTTTTTAATTTTATTTATCAGTTTTTATTAATTATTAATTACTTTGAATATTATGGGTTTTAAATAAATTTTTATTCATCACTTAAAAACCTGTTTAAAGAAAATAATATATATATACATATATATATATATATATATATATATATATATATATATATATATATATATATATATATATATATATATATATATATATATATATATATATATATATATATATATAAATATGTATATATTTTTTTAATAAAAATATATATATACATATATATATATATATATATATATATATATATATATATATATATATATATATATATATATATATATATATATATATATATATATATATATATATATATATGTATATATATATATTTATTTTTTGTTACAATAAGAAAACGTAAAATTCAAAAGAATTATCAAAAGCATAAACTATTTTTAATAGATTTAGTACTGAAGGACTAAATGCCGTAGCAACAATCTATTTAGAAATATTTCTAACAGTCGGGTAGATTCGGGTAAGAGGGAGCATCTTGGTAATATGAGCATATCAAAAGATTTTTAAGATGTAAACAGTGAAGTTCAAGTTGTTTTATATTTTTTGAATCAACTTTATGTGGTGATAACAGGAAGCAGTATAATTTGCGTAAATTTATAGCGGCTCTCGTCAATTAAAACGCTATTCAATTTTTAACACACGAGTATCATATCTATAAAACATATTTTATTTTGTGTTATCGGTTCTTCATTAACTCTCTTTTAACTAGAACAAATGTTTATCAAATCAATATTTGAACATGATATTTAAAAAATTCCCCACCCCTTATTTTATTTGTAGAATCGCCACTGACGGCATGGTATTCCACTCGGACAAAATTCGATTTGTAAAGAGTTTCTCACTCTGCATGCAGTTCTGTACTCTTTGCAGCGCTAGTTGTTGATTATGACCTACATAATGTACTTGACCTTGCATACTCAATAGATTCAGTTACCGCATTCAAAGGTGTTTTGAAACGCGATTCCGTTCCATTTTAGTGTCGTCTTCGCTTTTATTTTGGTCTTTTAGTCCTGAAAAAAAAGCGAACTTCTTTGAAGAGCATCTAGAAAATGCGATAAACTTTTGAACAAGTGATATGATATTTTTAATACTAGGGATGTTTTTTATTTCATCTTTTACAACCAAGTTAAAGTTGTTAGCTCTGCAAAAAATACGAAAGGCTCTGCTTTTTTGTTAAAGAACATTTTTTTGCAAGCCTGGTATATCATTAGACAAGGCAGCAGCTCCATCGTAGCATTGTCTTTGACAGTTCTGTGAATATAACTTTTATTTAAAAATAAATTTTTATAACACCTACCATCTTAGAATAATGTATAATAATATATAATAAATAGTAATTATTATTTAAAACGCAACTGTTATAATTTAAAAAATTAAAAATTAGAACAAGTATAAAATACAAACCTCTAGTACTTGATCTTTTGTCCAAGGTAAACCAACTAAAGTAGTAAACCAACCAATCAAGGTAAACCTACTAAAGTAGTAAACCAACCAATCAAGATAAACCTACTAAAGAAGATTAATTTGTCTAGTTTCAGAAATAAACAAGATGGGATGAACTCAGAAAAAAACTATGCTAGAGTTTCAAAAAATATTTATTTTTTGAAACTATAGCATATTAAGTCATCAGTTTTTAAAAAATCGCATTATTTTTTTATCGGTTGTTAGTAAAATAACCGATAAAAAAATAATGCGATTTTTTAAAAAGAAAATTCCAAAAAACTTAATATGATTTCTCTTTTGATAAAATTCTGATTTTCTTTGTTTAAAAATAAAAAAATTGAGTTTAAATTTGGACTTTGCGTGTTTTGCCGATATGCTCCTCAATTATTTTGTGATTGGATGAAATTTTAAAGGAGACGACAAGCTTGGCTTAAAGGGCATAGCCCCCTTTGCTACGTCAATGCTTTTTATCACAGGTGAGATGTCAATATTCATGTTGAGAAGTAATTTTTTTTGACTGTTTATTATATATACTTTGACTATAAATAATAAAAGAATAAAAAGAAAATTACTCCAACTTACAACTTTTTGTATATTTTAAAACCGTTTTAAGAACTTTCACAATTTTTCATGTCACATTTGATAATTCATATTGGTCAATGTGACTTTAATGCCTTTAGTACTATTTATGCTTGAAGCATTATGTAGCTAATAAATGCATTATTCAGGTAATTGCCGGCAGTGTTGGCGAATAGTTATGAGGTTAGTTGCCGGCAGGAAATTTTAAATTATAAATTTAAATATTCTACCGACGCAATACTAACATTGCTTGTAAATATGTCTAATTACTGGATATGCGAAACTTCAAATTCAAATCCTACTATTGAGCGTTGTCATCGTGAAATTTTATGTTTTATTTTTTTAACAGTACTAATTTTTATAAGTATTACTTATTATTAGTTTTTATTAGCTACTATTTAATATTAATCTTATTATTTAAACTTCGTCTTTTCTCTCCTTCTAAATTTTAAAAGTTCTAAAAAATTATTTTATCTTTTGCTTTTGTATTTTATGTTACCACGGCTTTTAGAAGCTTACGGTATATATTACGGTTTTTATAAGCTGTCTTACGGTATATATTACAGGGGTTAATGATTAGACAACTTTTGTCTTTTTTTTTGCTAATTTGGTACTTAAAACATAATAACTTTATGTAGAATTGTTCGATTTTTAGAATTTATTTACCATTGAAATACTAAATTAAAGCCCTTTCCAATGATGCATCTGGTTTTTATAAATTTTCTTTAATTTAAACAACTTCTTTTTAAAAATCAAGAGTAAAAATTTTAGTAGATGAGACAAGGGACGATAGCTCTTTAGAGCAGCGCTCATTATATAAAATTGAAAGTGAAGCAACATTATGACGATGTGATAATCGTTAAAGTCTAGCTGCAAGAGCAGATCCAAGTATGTTTACAATGCGTTTTTGCACCTTTTCTACAAGAAAAATGGCATCATTTGAAGATATGGCAACAGTATATACAAGGACGGATTAGAGATTTATAGAAATACTTAATAAAATCTGGAGTAAGAAAGTAACGACCGCGATAAAAATACAACCTTAGCGATGCAATCTTGGCAGATGCAACCTTAGCGATGCAACCTTAGCAGATGCTAATTTTGCAATTGATTTGATATATGGTTTTCAAGAAAGATCGTAAGTAAAAGTAATTCTAAAAGAGGAAGGCTATTGAGTACATTACTGTTCATAAATATAGGAAGATCTAGATTGTTTCAATAACTGAAAATTAGCTGAAAAAAGTTGATTTTTATTTAAGTTAAATTTCATTAGGACGGTAGTTAGACGAGTCAGATCGTTCTCCAGAATTTTTGAAAATAGGGATAACAGAAGATGAAGTGATACAAAAATTGATGAGAAGTTCTTAGCAAATAATTCAGCTTTATTTTTAGGTGAAGTGACAAAATTTTTACCATACAAGAGAGATGGAAAAACAGATTCGCCTTTGTTATTAACGCTGTTAAAGATTTTCTAGAAGTTATGAAAGTCTAGTTTTTAAGATGAAGTACGAGATTTCGTGACCTGAGAATAGCAGGCTTTGGCGTTAAACTGTTATAAACTTTTTTTTAAATCTTTTTATAAAACTATAATAAACCTTTTTAGAATAGTTTCTAGCAGACGTCTATTTTCTGGAGAGTTGTTTTGGTGATAGATGTGGAATTTTTGGTTGTGCTAAATAAAACCACATAAAAGAAAAGTCAGTAGATTCAAACCTAGTTTTCCAAAAAGTAGGTGAATTCTTACAAATGTAAATGCCCACCCCAAGTATGTGACTATTGGAGTCTTTACGAATTAAAGAAAGATAACAATCAACACTAAGATTACAAAATGAGACAACTGAACTAAAATTAGTCTCACAAAGAGCAAGTAGGTTTGGTGAATTTTGCAAGAGATAAGGCTCGACAGAAGAGACAGAAGACTCGACAGAAGACAGTTACTTTGAAAACCAGGAATTTTTATGATTGATAGAACTTGGTGATGAAAATGGTTAATGGAGTTTTATAGTTTTTTGGTTCTTTAGTCATTTTTAAATTTGTTAAAGGTTTTTACTCAAAGCACAGATAGTGCTCAGTACACTATTTAATATCTCAAACAATTGTCTCATTACTATTAATAAACTTTAGCCGTAATCAAGAGCTTTAAAAATTGCCCTGACGACACACACCTAAAGTACGAACAGGAATACCAACCATGCGCAACATGGCACTGTTAGTACTTTGATACAACCAATGCCATATTGCATTGAGTCAGCCACTCTAAAAGCTATCACGCTGTTTAGGAAACTTTTCAACCAACCGGCTTCAGAGCCATTAAACTAAGGTTTAGAGCTGTACCATCATTAGGAGATAATAGAATGAGTTGCTCAGTCATAAAAACAGAGACACAAGCAAATCCGATACTTTAATTAAAGAAGATCCAGCATTAAACACCCTAAATTGGAAACAATATATTATAAATACATCTACACCAGTCTAGTAAATATAGAAGGAGTGCGAAGCCAGTAACCAGATAGAATCTGGATACCTCTTAAGCCTTTGCTTAGGAGGCCTTCTATTAGACAGTAGCCGAATGCATTTAGCGTCTGCCCATGATGAGTATTTTTGTCGAAACACTTTCTCTAGCCTTTACTCAACCAAAATTCCAAAGCAGGGAGTGTGTTAAGTCAGAGTTAGCTTCTTCTAGACGGCAGGACATGAAGCTGGTTTTATTGGGTTACATGTTACCAGTAGCAATAATTCAATTGACATACTTAACATAGCTGTGTTTAAGTGGTGTAGGAAGGTTTTTAAATGTTTGAAATAACGAACTTTTAAAAAACAAAAAGAATATGCCAAATTTTTTTACGTTTATATGAATGACAAAAAGAATAAAAAAAAATTTCTGCGATTGGAGAATA